TATTACGTCACTATCGCGCGCCTCGCGGGATACAAACTAGTCTGTGACAAGGTATGAAACACTGGTCACGTGACAAATATAATTTTGCTCCTATTTCGCTGAAAAACTGAAAAAACGACAATTTTCTTTCAAATAACAATACATCGCCAGATTTCCTAACTATCTCATGATTTTTAGTCTGAAATTTTTATTACATGAGGAGAAAATGAACGTTAAGCATTTTACTCGTCGTGGACCGATGTGTGCCCCAGGCAGCTGGGCATAAGATCTGAAACTATTGCGTCATCATCGGAAACCGAGCGGACTTCCAACTCGTGAGATTGTCGAGAACTATCGTGAACCATCGAGACTTTCACGGAGTATTTTCGTAATTCCCGAAGTATGTAGCTTTTACATCACATTTCTTGACGTCCTTTGTGTATAGTTTACAAAACAAAACAAAACATGAGCGAAATTACTCCAAACTTTGAGCAAAGGAAAGCCGTAGACCTGGCTATGTCTGGACACAATGTTTTTCTAAGTGGCAGAGCCGGTACAGGGAAAACTTTCACGGTCAAATACCTCGTGAAAATGTTGGAAAAGCACAAAACCTTGGTGGTGACCTGAAAGCCAAAGACAACGATTATTGATGGAGAATTTCTCAGAGGAGAACTGACATATTCTCCGACGATACCGTGGCGTTATTAAACAAATGGCGGTATGTTAGATTCTCTTTCGTATAATGCTCCGCACTGCGGGATTCATTATGCATTTTTCGCCACTCGTTACCAGGCTATCACGGTTCAAAGATCATTGTTATGCAAATTAAATTGGTGTATATAAACAGCCATGTGCTCATTGCTCGTTGTCTTTTTTTCGCGTGCTTACTGTTAAAGCCAGGCTATCAAGTATGTCGGAAGCAGGAGAGACGCCTGAAGACCGAGACGGTGGAGGCCAAAATGTAAACGACCGAAWTGAGATGTTATCTCATTCAGTCGAAGTAATGGCCCAACAAATGGCCAGAATAAGCGATGTCATGTCGGTGGACGCTAYTGACTTGGTAGACGAAGAGCTACCACGAGAGCCTTCGGTCTTTGACCYGGCCGAAAGCATTACTGGCGAAGGTCAAGCCCTCGAGGAGGGCGAATTACCTTATCAAGATTTGTTTAAAGACACAGAAGACTGTGGTCCTAAAGTAAATGAGGGAATTGCGAAACGGGTCAACAGTGCGTGTACAAAGAAACCAGCCAAAGAGCAGTTCGCTAACATACAGAAGAAATACGTGAGGCCGGAGAACTGCGAATATTTAAAGTCTCCTCGGGTGAATCCTGAGTTATGGGATGACCTTCAGGACAAAACGAGAGCTCGAGAGGGTTCATTTCAAGGATTCCAGAGGAATCTTATTAAGGGAATTATCCCGGTGATTCAACTCGCTGACAAGGTCGTTGAAGCGAAGAAACGCAAAGAGGAAAACATTAAGATTAGCGAGGTTTACGACTTGACTGTCGATGCGTTGACCCTTTTGGGTAGTTCAGTTTACGACTTTTCCATGAAAAGACGGGAACTGCTCAAGTCTGAAGTTGCTCCAGCCTATAAATCGCTGTGTCACGAGTCGCAGCCAATTACAACAATGTTATTTGGGGATGAACTGCCCCAAAGTATCCGTAACATTGCTCAGGTGAAACGCATGGCTGCTCGAAGTGTAAATAACAAGCGTAAAC